CTTTAAGAGTTTTTTTTAATATCCACGTGTCTATGCAATAACTTGCAAATGAAAGGAGTAATGTGTGTGCAGTATGTTTATACACTCCATATGCTGTGGAAATAGACAAAAAGATAGATAGGTAGGTAGGTAGATGGGTGGGTAGGTGGGTTGGTAGGTAGGTAGATAGGTAGATAGGTAGGTGGGTAGGTGGGTAGGTAGGTAGGTAAGTAGGTAGGTGGGTAGGTGGGTGGGTGGGTAGGTAGGTAGGTAGGTAGGTAGGTAGGTAGGTAGGTAGGTAGGTAGGTAGGTGGGTAGGTAGGTAGGTAGGTAGGTGGGTAGGTAGGTGGGTAGGTAGGTAGGTAGGTAGGTAGGTGGGTAGGTAGGTAGGTAGGTAGGTAGGTAGGTAGGTAGGTAGGTAGGTGGGTAGGTAGGTAGGTAGGTAGGTAGGTAGGTAGGTAGGTGGGTAGGTAGGTAGGTGGGTAGGTAGGTAGGTAGGTAGGTAGGTAGGTAGGTAGGTAGGTAGGTAGGTAGGTGGGTAGGTAGGTGGGTAGGTAGGTAGGTAGGTAGGTAGGTAGGTAGGTAGGTAGGTAGGTAGGTAGGTAGGTAGGTAGGTAGGTGGGTAGGTGGGTGGGTAGGTAGGTAGGTAGGTAGGTAGGTAGGTAGGTAGGTAGGTAGGTAGGTAGGTGGGTGGGTGGGTAGACATATAAATAAGCAGGCAGATTAACAAATAGATAGATAGACAGATATACCTATGGGTAAATAGGCAGATTAACAAATAGATAAATAGATAGGTAGATGAATACACACAGATTGATAGACAGACATAGATAGACAAACATATAGACAAAAAGACAGATAGATAGACAGATAGACAGAAAAAAATATAAATGTACCCCATCCCCTCTACACATTCTGAAGGGCGTGGGGGGGGGGGGTAAAGAGACGTAAGTGGGCCGGGGGGGGGGGGGTTAAATCACTTCGTCTTTGTTCACGAAATAAATTTAATCAGCATCTGCATTCACCTCTCAAAGAGGGTATCCATTACAACGGGGCGTAAAGTGATTCC